GCAGGCGTTTGCTTGCCTTTTCTTGGCGGTTCCCAACCATCCACTTAGGCTTGTAGCGTTTTAGGGTTTAGTGGGGGTTTCCATTTAGCCCACAAGACAAACTGTTGGCCGCGCATCAGCTAATGGACAGCCCAGTTTTTCAGCCTTCTTGGCTTCCCTTCATCTTGCTAGTTCCCAGCATCGAATGAGGGAATGAACCCTCTCAACCATTCCCTATGATTTCCTTTGAGGGAATCCCCTTCCGTTTCATTCCCAACTCCCGGAAGGTCATTCACTACCTATCGAACCAGCAAGTCATGTTCCCCCCCGTAATTTTGTTGCTATTTGGTTGGATCTTTGGACTTGTTGAAACAAGTCGGATTTTCCGAACAGGACCCACACAACAAAAAAAGCACAATTGCAGAGGGGTCAACCAGCGACCAAGACTTAGAGACGGGTTTGAAAGGGGGGAAACCCACCATTTTCGGGGGTGCCCTAAAGAATGACACCCCCTTTACTTGACTGCTATTGGGTTGGATCTTTAGACTTTGACTTTTTGTGTGAAGTAAAGGTGTTTTCCACTAAACTCCCAAAAAGTTAAACACTTTTTGCAGGGGGGTCGTTTCAGCACCCAAGTTTAGCTGCTTCCGCTTGGCTGAAATGAAGACATGCGACGGGATCCGTTCGACCCGATGCCCGTAGGCGGCGGGAGTCAGTTCGAGCTGAAGGTCCGCATGTCGGACAGCCACTGGGAATCCCTGCGCTTCGCCTCCGGCGCCTCGGGGCGAAAACCAAACGAAGGGGTGGAGTGGCCAGGTCCCCCCAGTAGCGCCCTTTTACCCCGTACTGGAACAGGGCTCCTTAAAGGATACATTTTGCCCAATTGAAACATGGCCTTTTCCGCCAAAATAAAGGGAAACCACCATTTACAAGGAAATGTTCTGGTGTATAACGTAAGGATCCCCGTGGAAATGTGTTTATCATTTTCCTGGGGACTTAGGCAAATGGCAGAAACTATGTTGTAAATGACTAGGTCCCCCAGCTAGGTGCCCTTCCGTTTCTTTTTTCGGGGGAGGGTTCTCCTACTCAGATAGACTGCAGAAAAAACGAAGGGTACCCTTATTCTAACCTCTCTACTGGAGGACCTAGTTGGGATGGAGGTGAAGAGACCTGTGCCAACCCTTGGCATGGTAGCAGAGAAATATGAAACCACCAAAATATGGTAGTAAAAACCCACCAACCCTGTTCTTGCAGACTCCCCCCGCCAAAGATGAGCATCTAACTTGGTGGCTCAACCCGCCATCCGGTTCCGGAAAGGCTCTTAGATCTGTTTAGTTGGTTTTATGTTTGGGTTTCCGAATGTAGCCCACGAGATGGTCACTTTTAGCAGGGGATCAGTTTGGACAGCGAAGGGGTGGATCGGAGCGTAATGGACCTTTACAACCCTTGGTATGGTAGCAAAACCGCTTCTTCTTCTTTTTTGCAGACCCCCACTAAAAATGAACAGAGCCAAACAACCAAGAACCTGAAACACGTGCCAGCAACTGTAAAGCGACCCTAAGATCGGAGTCTTTCTTTGGTTTGGGTAGAAATAGACCATCTATTCGACCCCAAAAGGTCATGTGACCCCTTTAGGGTCACCAAAGGTGGGTCCGGATGTATGTCCACCCACTTGAAAAGTAGCTCCAACTCTTGAAATTCATGGTCACGTGTCTTGAAATCGGAAGGGTGGCCGTCTTTTTTGAGGCTTTCCTCTGCTTTTGGTGGTTTTAAAGGGACACCAAGGGAACACCGAAGCCAAAACTGGGGGGTCGGAATCCCAAAAAAGGGAACCACACCCATGGCTTTTCCACACCAAAAGGTCGAAGGACCTTTTGCTATCCTTTTGCTCAGGGAACCTGCGAGCCAGAATATGGATGTCCCCGCTTTTGGAGGGACCCCCACCCTTGTGGCTGGTGGGAAACCAAAAGGGGAAAGCCGAAGCCATTTTGAGGGTCCCCTAAAAAAGACGCTCCCATATGAGTGCTTCTCAAACTGGTGCTTCGGGCCGGTTTTTTTTTGGTCAACTTCCAGCGGCCCCCTTCCCGACATTGGGTACACCAAGTTGCCGTTAAATCGAGAAAACCTCCAATTGGGGCACACGAAATATTGGTACTGCTCCCCTTGAGTCGCCTCACAGAAAACCTGGGAAGGTCATAGCGCGGAAGATGGCCCCGAAGAGTCGCGAAGGGTCACCAACAGTCACTCTTGGGCTGCGATGCCTCGGGCGACGATTCTGAGTTGTTGCATATGGGTTTGTCTCAAAATATGTCTAGGTCCGCCAGTAGTGCCCTTTCACTTTTTTTTGGGGAGGGTTCCCCTACTAAAATAGCTTACAGAAAAACGGGCATCCTTTTTCTGACCTCCAAAACTGAAGTTCCTCTGAACCAAAAAGGGTGCCCTGAGATGAGTCATGATCACGAGGGTGCGGTCTTTGGGTCCATTTGCTCAAAACGCAAGGGACGGTGCCCATATTCAGTCTGGCCATCGGATTCCTTGAGTGTCAATGCTAGTCTCATGGTTTGTTGTTTTTTAGGTTATCAAAGTCAGACGCCGAGGGTTTTTCCCTTTGACTTATCACCTAGGAGGTGACTGAGAATGGCATTTTGCCCCTTCCTTCGGGGCGGGGGGGGGGGTTGGCAGTTTAGGAGCCCCCAAAGGTCCCTCTGGTATTGCCTAGTGGGTGGTTTGGATTGGTGGCTGGTAGAGGGCAAATGGGAAACCCCTTTACCACCGAACTCTTGAAACTCTTCGGAAAACACAAACTCACTGCAGGGCGAGTTGCTTTTTTGAGGGTACCGCTCAAAGGGAAGCCAAAAGCAGGAACCATCATGTGGGCGTGTATTTTTTTTCGTGGGTACCCTTTTTCATGGTTGTACAAGGAAACTTCAAGAGGAACACCACCGTTTTGGGCGGGTCCACTAAAAGCAGACACACCCATTTTGTGTTGTCGCCCTATTTCGACCCATGTCCCTGGATGACGTTAGTTGTTCCCCTCATGGAAAGTCTGTTTGGAGAGTAGGGCTGAACCTTTTGGGGGTCATAGGTCCTTTCTCCCCCCTCCGCATCCCTGGATCCTCATTCCAATAGCTACTCAAATAAGTTTGGTTTTCAAAGACCCCAGAACCCCATTCTAGTTGTTTAGGCCCCTAGAGTAATTTGCCCAGATGTTGCGTGACTAAGGAGACGACCTCGAGCTACAGGGCAAGCAGTTTGTCCAGCGTTACTTGGCTTCCGAAAGCAGGCACGAAGGCAGGAAGGCACGGCAGGACTGGCTACCGTGGATGGTTCTGCGAAATACCGTTCAGAGACCCAACGTTAAAACAAGCCCCCTCCGAAAGACAGACCCCTACTGTGGATGGTTGAAATCGAAATCCATTTACCCCATCGCACCATTTACCCCATCGCACCAAGCTCCCCGAAGTAAATGCCAGCAAACGGTATGGTTTCAACCATGGATTGCGTCCGTCCGCAATATGTCCATGATGTAAGCACACTTTTGCTTGGGGCAGAGGTGGTTATGTGACGAGAAGGGCGACGAGCTCTAAGTTTCCTCACTGCCAGGTGGAATCAGAAACTCTGACCATGGTTCATATGGGCAGTGAACATTTGCCCCGACGTCTTTAGCAAAGGGGATGCCATGGGCAACACTCACCAGAAATAGGACATCGAGGCTCGCCACATTCCAAGGTCGCTGGGGGACATAACTCATATTAAGTACGGCTCATGTCACTTTGGTGCATGTTGCTTGGATGTTAGCACTTTAACTTTTTGCCAACTAATGGGTTGTCCATTAAACCACTAAAAGTTAAACGTTTAGCGGGGGATCTGAACACGGCAACCAGTTTTAGTGTCCCTTGCGCCAACCAAAAAGGGATGCATCTTGAGAAACGCTAAGAATATTCGTCCATGGTCGAGCTCAGCGAGTCGGGGGTACGGTTCTTTACTTGAGAGGGTCCATTTAGGTGATGGAAAAATCCTAGACACACATGTAGGTAATACATATATATGTATTTGTACAACAACGGTTGAGCGGGCGCCCGCTTCAACATGTGTTTTGATTTGTGGAGTAGTGCGCAAGATTCTTACGCGGCCCAGCCTGGTCTCATGATTCCCCCAAGCCTTTTTGTGGCTTCCTTCAAAAGGGTCTAGGAGGGTTCCAAAACTCTCGGTCAACGGTTCCCGACCAGCCGAGGGCTGACGGAAGGCGATACGGCGAGAGAGAAGTGGGGGACATGTGGCGAAACGTCTGGTGGACGCAGATTTTCGTGTATATCTTCATGAGGTGGGTTAGTGCTCCTCCCCAAACCGCTCCATCTCTGGCGCCGGATTTGATTTCTTTGCTTGGCGAACAAAATCGCAGATGTGGTAACGCCTCCTGCAAGATCAGGTAGCGCTTGGGTGGTGGTTTGGGATTGATTTGGCTTTGCACCTCCGGTTCTTCTAGAGAGAGTCAATGGGAATTCCTCCCACCACCAAACCACCGATCCAAACCAGAGGGAAGATGAAAAGAGAACCGTAAAGATGGATAATTGTTCAATATATATATATATATACCCTCCCTCCCACTAACATAGCAACTGACACACGATACCATCAAAAGGAAAACCATCTTCCAGGTACCCTCCCACAGTTGCTATGTTTGTTGGAGGAGGTGTATATATCCAGACCCCTTAGTTTCGGCACGTGAACACTTACATTGAAACAACTTGAGCAACTCGAAGAGTTGCTTTGCGGCGACTAAAAGATGAGATCAAGCCACGTTTGGCAAGAGCATTGTTTCCAGCATCCCCGAAATACTTGTTTTTTCCTTCCCCATCAAGTGCTGCCATCTCTTGCAGTCATTGGGGGTTGAGCTAGGCAAGCCAAAGGCATCTGCCCTTCCCGGCCGCATCTTGGCTCTCGAGTCGAAGCTTGAAAAGGAGTCCAGCCATGCGGTCGTCGAGTCGAAGCCCGCGCGACGTCGGGAAAAGCGGAGTGGCATGATCCACTACCAGCATGGTAGCTGGGGCATCTGCTTCCTCTGGCAGCTCAGAGGGTCCACGCTCCCGACGCTTGGTTGGAGTGGAGTGCCGAGGGCCGGTGGTGTTGGAAGTTGGTTTGGGGCTGGGGTTGGGTTTGGGGGCTCTTGGGTTTGGATTTTGCTTTGGGGGTGGGTTGGGTTTGGGGGCTCTTGGGTTTGGAAGTTGGTTTGGGGCTGGGTTTGGTTTGGGGGGGGGCTCTTGGTGTCCTTTTCATCGGTTGGTTTGGTTAGGAAGAGATGGGGTCGCCTGGTTTGGAGTGGCGCTGTTTCATTTGCCGCCATTGATGTGTCCAAAAGGACGCCTATGGTTTGGGGGTGTTTGATTTTTCAAGGGAATCTTATAGAGACAAAGTAGTCATGCGGACAGCTTGTGCTGGTACAGAGAGGATGGTTTTCCACATGCTTGCGAATTGGATGTGGCCAACGCAAAGGGAAGCTGGAATGCGCGAATTGCATGAGTCGCGTGTGACCGCACTACGCGCCAGAAAAGTTCCCTCAGAAGATTGCAGGTAGATCCAACTAGTCGCAGGGCACTTGGTACACCCAACAGAACTTTGAATCTTCTGATTTCAGAAAAGTTCCCAGAAAAGTTCAGAAGATTTCAGGTCTCTTTGAACTTTGAACAGAACCCAACGGAATGATTCAATTCCCCGACCAAGAAGGGCTTCCCATGGTGCGTGTTGGATTTCGTCCATCCACAGGAACATCCATGTACACCTCCCTGGTTCCTCTTTTCCTCAGGCCGTAACCCGGGAACGGGGGCAGGTGGACCCTAATAGGGTCTATTTTGCAACCTGTGTTGTGGGTTTGGGCCTGAAAACTAGGGGAGGCGTTGGATCCTTTGAGGTTGGCCCAGAAGATCTGCTTTTGATAAGTACATCCGCACTAGCTCACGGATTCATGCTTTAGCACCTTTAAGTCGAGGTTTCTTATTTCTTACAAAGTTGCCAAGCCCTTGTTTGAACCATGGTTTCAACTGCTATGATTTGTTCGACCTTCTTTTCGTTTCTTTTGCAGACCAGTGGGCTGTACCGCATTCCAACGATATGCTCGAACCTCCGTTGGGTTTCCCTCAAAAGGGCCAGCCTTGGACCCAGAAACTCGAACGCTGACACGGACCTAATATTGATTGAACATATGGCTTCCCCGTCATCAACCCCAATATTAATATTGGGAATCATATATGTTTGGGCCCTTTTGTTTGATCCATTGAGATTCCCGACATATTCCCGCCGCACGGCAAAAAGCGGCGGCACCCGAGCTACCGGTCAGGAAGGGACTCATGTGGGCCATCCCCTGGGCCGCAGTGGCGGGCATGCTCACCTGGGCCAAGATGCGGTCGGGCGAGAACTACGCCTCGGCCTCGGTCGAGGGGTTGGTTCCAGTTGTGTCCTGAATTCTCGCAACTCTTGGGTTCACACAGTGGACCCCAACAAAGAAACCACGCATTGTAGGGATGCGCATTTGAGAAAGGGAGCCAATGGTTCATGCTTGAGACCCGTTTGGTCTTTGCCCCCGTGTCAAGACACGCAGTCATCTTATTGCACTTTTGGAAACACTCCATGTCCTTTTGATCGGTTTGGTGAGAGAGATCGATTCGGGTTTCCACAGGTTTAGATTGGTTTTACCCATTTGCCGCCATCGACATAGGTGTCCTTTTTAGGTTGGTTTGGCTAAAAATAAGCCCATTTACCAGGGCCATCTATTGTTCCAAAAGGCCATCGTTTTTTTTCCAGTTTAGGTTCATGGACCACTCACTTGCCGGTTTCAGGCGCATGCCACTCGACTCGACGAACCTTCGTGGGCGCTTGCCCTCACGTTGATCCCTGGTCTCTGCGTTTCGACATCTAACCACTTTGGTGCATTTTGCCAAGGGATGTTTGGACTTTGAACTTTTTGCCAACTAATGGGCTTTCCGTATTAAACCACTAAGAGTTATTCACTTTTCTGCAGGGGGGCAGATTTCGCAACCTCGAGGTGCTCCTAGTGCAAAGGACCCTGACATGGATGTCCACCCACCCAGTTCCCTATTGAAAAAGAATGGCCTTCTCACTCCCTGAGGTCCTGGACATTCCTGGACTTTAGAAGACCATTTTTAGTGGCAGGACGTTTTTTTTTGCCAATCCACTCAGGAATTGAGCCTTGCTGGATTGACTACTTTGGCTCAAAGGTCCTTCTGAAGCATCCCCCAACGGCAAGCGCTGGAAACCGTGTCGCAAAACAACAGCATGTTAGCAGGTGGTTCCAATACATGTTTGTTGTTTGGAAACATTTTACATTTTTGCTGATTGTGGTTTAGTGGGAAATCCCCACTGAACTGCTAAAATTTGTTTTTTTGCTCTCCTTCCAACGTCAACCAAGAATACCTGGTTTGCAAGCGATAAATGCCGGCAAGGCCAACTTGAAACGCGACTCTTGGTCATGGAACCACAAGTCATCGAGGCGACAACCCGAAATTACATCGGGGCGGAGCAAATTCAAACGTTGCCTAGGTCCCCCGGTAGTGCCCTTTTACCCTTTTTTTGGGGGGAGGGTTCCCCTACTAAAATAGACCAACCAGAAAGAAGTTGGTACCAACTTATTCCAAGCTCTCAAATCTGGAGGACCTGGTTGAGTTTGAACGCTCGCAGCATCCCTCAGGAGCCGGTGGATGCTGGGACGCTTTTGGGAGCCTACGGCTTCTTCATTTCGCTGCTGGCGTGGCGCGAGCGGACTAGGGGCGGGGCTGGGGCGGCCCTTTCTCTCGCGGCCCATGTCCATAGGGGGACCTTGGATTAGTTTGGTTAGAAATGGGTGTGGCTCAAAATTACACACGGGGGGTTGCGCAGGTGTTGGTCCACGTTTCGACTTACCAGGGTTCCATTTTGGTACCGGTTTGTTGAGCCAGAGCCGAATAGATGGGTTCCAGTGGTTTTGATTGGTTTTATCACCCACTTGCCATCGATATTAAACTCGTGCGCTTCAACCAATTGACTCACGTCCAATTTTCGGGGGGGGGGGGGGGTGTAGGGCATGAATTTGAGTGGGAATGTATCGGCTTAAAGCATGGTTGAACAGTACTCTTCATATAAAGGATGCCTACCAAAGGGTCAATTTGAGTTCATCCCCACAGGTCTGTTTGGCCTCCCACGAAAAAAAATCCAACCGAAACCTTATGCATGCGAACCCATTCTCCATGGATCCGCGAACCCGAGTTTACCAAGCTCAAGAGTGAAACGGTCCCTTGCCTGGGGGTCCTTGTCTCTGGGTGATGGTAACTTGCTCAAATGGATTTTCACATTGTGGTAACTTGCTCTTTACGGTAACTTGCTCATTGAGGTAGCGCCTCTGTGATTATGGTAGCTTCCTCCAACTTGCTCTAATGGATTTTGTGGGGGCGTTGGAGGATGGGCAAACGCCGGCAGCTAAGCTGGATGAACCGCTACACATGCTGGGATAAACCCATGTGTCTGTTTTCCCCAGCTGAAGGGTATGGATTTGGTCTACAGAACAAAGGGTACCCTTATTCTAGCCTCTCTACTGGAGGACCTAGGGTTTCAACCATGTGTCTAAACTTGGGGTTAACTCGCACCCTGATTTCCCCCCATGTCATGGACGCCTGTTGCTTTGGGTGTGTCATCTGATACTCACCATAGTCAGGTGCCCCTTGGGAAGATAAACCTGCAAACAGCAAATGCGCAGCACCCGAAACCCCCGGTTGGACGGTTTAAAGTGGGTGGTTCTACGAATTCCTGGGCATTCGTGGATTCCATGTTCGTCCTTCCCAGCCAGCCTCTCAGGTTTTGGGCTTAGGCTCTCGTGGGGGTGTCCATTTAAGCCCGAAAAGTTACAGGGGGATCTGAGGACAGCACGGGTTCATGCGTGAGCGTGGAGACTCCTTCGACTTTTGAAGGGTACCCCTTCTTGGAGGTGTTGGGGTTTCCAAAAAAAAAGCCTTTTGGGGCTCCGATTTCTAAAGGGGAGCCTTTTGGACTTAGTTTGTTTGGAAGTAGATGGGTTCACTGGCCTGGATTAAATTTATTACCAGTTCCCGCCAGCCAGCTCTTTCCAGTCACCTATGTCTTCGGGGGCCGTTTCCTTTTTTTTTTTTGGTGGCTTCAGTCGGGCCAACTTACATACCCCTAAGAGGAATCTATCACTTGACATAATATGTCAAACAAAAACACATTTCCAGGGCACGAAAAAGCAAACACCCCTACATACCCCTAAAGAGAATCGATAACTGGAATTCTTGATTCGATTGGTTTGGGATTCGAACTCCTGCTTCCAACAGAGGGTAAATGAGAAACCGTTTCTTACCCACCAAACCACCAAAGCACCAAACCGCCAAACCGCCAAACCGCCAAACCGCCAAACCGCCAAACCACCAAACCAACCCACCAATCCACCAAACCACGAAACGAAGCTGCTCCCTCAGTGGCTTCAGGTTCATGGTGGCCTTCCGCAACAACCACGGCTGGAGCCGCTACTGGGAGGGCGCCACCCTGCTGCAGCAGACGCGCGGCGAGTGGTTCAACGCCATGAGCTCCACCTTCGCCTTCTGCGCCTCACCGAAAGAAAAATTTTTGTTCACCCGCGCGGTCTCACCAAAAGCCCCGGAGAGACCGTGGAACACCGCCTTGGAGCCATCGGAAACCATGGTTTGGGGGTATTTACAGGGAATCATCATTCCAGGGTTTCTTGGGTGGTGCAGGATTTCGTCCATCCACAGTATCACCAAAAGCCCCGGAGCCATAGGTGTTCTTTGCGGTTGTTTTCGGTTGTGCTTTGCGGCTTGGTAGACATGGATCCATCTTCCGTTTTTGGCCCCCAGTTTGAATGGGTAACTTTTCCCTTGTGGGAAATATATGTGTTCAGTGGTTTTCCTACAATGGTCATCCCATGTGAATGACCCAGGTGGTACAGTATCACCAACAGCCCCGGAACCATAGGAGCATAGATGTCCTTGTTGGTTAGTAGAAAGTAGATTGCGATTCCTGTTGTTTCAAACTCTGCCAGGGGCCATCTATTTTCCCAAAAAGGATACACATGCCAGGAACCCGTTCGCGAAACCCATGGTTGAAACCGTAACGTTGGTTGGTCTTTACAGGGGAATCGAATCATTCCAGGATTTTAGTAAGGTGGAAGGAAATTTCGTCCATCCGCCGTACCCGAGGTGGGTGGTGTCCCTAACAGCCCCAGAAGCCACCCTCCCTGAAAGCTCGAACAAGTTGTTTGTATCTCACCCCAAAGGGAATCGACCGGTTTCGTCATGACCCCAAGGCTTAATCCTTGCATGTCTAGGTCTTTGGGCAAGTGAGTTCTTTGTGAGTTGATGTTTTGGATTCTGTTTGAGGTTGCTTTTGATGTTTCGTGCTGGTCTCGCGCTTTGCATTTTCTGGCCTTTCTCGGCGTCTGAGTTTGGATGGTTGCTGTAGTGTTTGCTGGCTTCTGCCGTGTGCGTTGTGAAACGTTGTTTCCTTGCCCTTCCTGGTATTTTCCTGGTTTTTCTTAGCTCCGCCCGGTCGGCCAGGTGGGTTTCTCCCCTCTGGGGAAAACAATGAGCCTTGTTTCAAAGAGGTGGCGTCGTAAAGCTTCCCCAGTCCAAAGCTTTGAACAGAGAACAAAAGGATGCTCAGCTGGATTGGACACATGTGTGTGTGCGTGTGTGCGTTTGTGTGTGTGTGTGTGTGCCTTTTGCTTGGGTACCGTGCCCGTTTTTGCGCGTATAAAGGACCCAGCAAAAGACACTAATCCTTTGACTCGCCCAAAAACACACACATTCCCAGCGAGGGGTGTCTCTCAGAGAAGGCGTTGTATTTTGGCCTAGTTTAAAGGCTAGGTCCCCCGGTAGTGCCCTTTTACCCTTTTTGGGGGAGGGTTCCCCGACTAAAATAAACTACAGAAGAAAGAGCACCCTTATTCTAACCTCTGGAGGGCCTAGAAGGGAAGCATGAACCCGACCATGTTTTCAGAGATCGAAGTCGCACGGCATGATCACACAAGGGACAGGCTTCGGACCCCCTTTCGGATGGCAAAAGGGAAACGAAAAAGGAAAACACCTACGATGAACGTTTCGTTCAAGCACGGGCGCCGAATGAAGCAACAAATTTACTGGTTGAGGCACAGGGCTGCATTCCAAGAACCCTAACCCCTCTCAAGAAGGTACACACTTTACCCTGCCCGATGTTCGAACGGTAGCCAGCAGGCTGTGAGTGTTGACGATCAATTTTCCTTGTTCACCACGCATGTCCTTTCTCCCTTGGAGTTTGATTTCATGCTCAGTATCTGAGTTCTTGGACTTTAAATGGATGTCTTTTGACCAGTCCACTCAGGAAGTATTCGGGGGTGCCTCTTTTGGAATCGGACCCGCAAAACGTCGCTCAGCGGCTTTTCTTTCGGTTTCCCTTCAAAAGCCCCCCTTCCCACGCCCAGAAAGAAACCCCAAAAACTGGTGGCACCCTTTCTCCCCAAAAAAGAGACGAGAGCCACCCCTTCCCACGCAAAAGGACTCCCAAAAAAAGGCGCGCCACCCCTTCCCATGCCCAGAAAGAAACCACAAAACTGGTGCCACCCTTCCTCCAAAAAAAAGAGACGAGAGCCACCCCTTCCCACGCAAAAGGACTCCCAAAAAAAGGCGCGCCACCCCTTCCCATGCCCAGAAAGAAACCACAAAACTGGTGCCACCCTTCCCCCCCAAAACAAGAGACGCGAGCCACCCCTTCCCACGCAAAAGGACTCCCAAAAAAAGGCGCGCCACCCCTTCCCATGCCCAGAAAGAAACCACAAAACTGGTGCCACCCTAAAGAAACCACAAAAACTGGTGGCACCCTTCCTCCCCAAAAAAGAGACGAGAGCCACCCCTTCCCACGCAAAAGGACTCCCAAAAAAAGGCGCGCCACCCCTTCCCATGCCCAGAAAAGGAGCCACAAAAACCCGTGGTACCCTTTCTCCCCCCAAAACAACTTGAGCCACCCCTTCCCACCGCCCCAAAAGGACGTCTCACAAAAAAGACTCGAGCCACCCATTCCCAAGGCCCAAAAGGACGGATTCCAGGCACCCGGACCGCGACGCCAAACCCCGAGGCAACCAAGCGCCGGAGTACAAGGAGCAGGTGCAGACCTTCCAGGCGCTCACCGTGCGCTTGATGAGTCTGCTCTTCTCCTCCGCGGTGACCTCGGTCTCGGACCTCTGCGACTTCGAGGTCATCGATATGAAGGCGGCGGAGCAAAATCAAACCCATGGGAAAAGGGAGACGCGGCTCTGAATTTGTAGGTGATGTTTTCGGGGGGGGGGGGGGGGAAAGCATTGGGGGGAGATTGCTTTCACTGTTGCTGGCATGATGTCTTAGGTCCGAGTTAGGTTTGTGTGGCTGAAAGTTCATGAGTCTCCCCAAAAAGAAGTTCCTCAATGGTAGATGTTTTATGGGTATGTTAATTTGGGTAGCCTCTTAATGAAAGTTGATTCCAACCATTCACTCAACCATTGTTTTCTCAAAAACCGATTGCCGTTTGCCACCTGGGTTTCCGGAGGTGTTCGTGAAAAGAAGGATCCCCCGAAAGAAGGGGGAAGGTACCCCTCGAGGAAAACATGGCAACGTCCTTCAGCTTGTCGACCCGAAGAGCTATGGTATGTTATGTTAAACAATCAATGCGGGTGTGCATTTCGTTTTAACAATTTGGACCCCAAATTGGCCGTTTTGCTTCGGGTGTTCCTTTAGAACCGCAAAACAGGGGTACCTCTCGAAAAAGGCATGCCACTATGTTAGTTTGCAGGGGAGTACTTTATCATTTCACAGGGTATCGAGGAGTTTTTTTGATTTGCCGAGAACTCTTTGTTGTTTTGTTGGTTTGTTTGCATTCTAAGTTTCACCATATATGGACCGGCTTAGGCCATCCCACTTTCCGTGTTCCTCAAAAAGTGACTTGGTGGTCGGTTCCATGTTGGCGTGGACCATGGAATGGTTTCGAACATGGTCTGCCGGAAATCCTCAGGTTCCATGTTGCTTCCATGTGTAAAGGGAAGCCAAAAGGAGCATCCCGCATTTTACTTGGTGGCTGCTGATTCTCAAATTGGCGCTTCCCAAACCTACCCTTCCATTTGCTGAAATGAAACGAATGTGTTGTTTTAATGTTCCCCTGATTTTTAACGGGAACAGACATCGATGCACATGTTTGCTCATTCTTGCCGCACGACCATCCTCAAAGGCTGATAGTACAGGCCCACCCATAGCCAGTTTGGACCCCTTTTCTCACCCAATAGGCTTCATACCAAGAGCTTGATACCAAGGGCTTCATACCAGGGGCTTCATACCAGCCTTTGACATCCAATGGGGTCGCCTTAGCTCACTTCAGCCTCGCAGGGCCTGGCGCCTCAGAATCTGGAGTTCCTGCTGGCGGACTTCCGTGAGAACCATCACACGAGGTGCGAGATCCTCATTCAGTGGATGCAGAGCCTCGGTTCGCCGCGGTTCGAAGTCCGAAGACGAAAAAAACGAGATGTGACCGGAAAGGCAGGCGCCTCTGCCTGTGTTTTTTGCTATGGCGGTTGATCGGTTTTGTGATGTTTTTTGTTTTGGTGTGGGTCGGGTTGTTTTGCTGCGTGTTCAGGGTATTTCCTTTTTTTTAATCGGTGGGCCTTCATTATTTGATTCTGTGTTTGCTTGTGTGTTTGCCTGCTTCTTTGTTTGTTTGCTTGCTTGCTGACCTTTTTGGTTGTTTGCTTGTCTTTTGTTTTTGTGTTGTGCTCTGTTGTGTGTGTGTGTGTGTTTGTTGTGCTTGTCCAGTTGGCTTTTCTTGTTGTGCCGTCATTCTTGGTTGTGGATTGTTTGCTTGCTTGTTTGTTTGTCTGTCCGACGATTTGCTTGCTTGCTTGCTTGCTTGCTTGCTTGCTTGCTTGCATGCATGCTTGCTTGCTTGCTTGCTTGCTTGCTTGCTTGCTTGCTTGCTTGCTTGCTTGCTTGCTTGCTTGTTTGCTTGCTTGCTTGCTTGCTTGCTTGCTTGCTTGCTTGTTCAATGTGTGCTTGTGTTTGTGTGTGTCTTGTGTGTTTCCCGACTTGCTGTTTGGTTCTTCATGTCCTTCCTTTGTTTGCCTGTGTGTTTGTTTGTTTGGTTGGTTGAGTCTTTGTCTTTATTTAACTTTCTTTCATGATGCGTTAAACAAAACAACCCAATATGTAACATCATGTAACTACTTGTTATCTGTGTGTCTTTCTTTTGTTCTTTCTTTCTTTCTTTCTTTCTTTCTTTATTTATTTCTTTCCTTTTTTTTTGTTCTTTCTTTCTTCTGTTCTTTCTGCTGGTTGTTTGTGTGTGTTTGGTTGTTTGTTTGTTTGTTTGATTGTTGGTTGGTTGCTTCGTATTGTTTTGTTCCGTTTCGTTCGTTTCGTTTCGTTTGTTTGTTTGTTTGTTGGTTTGTTGGTTTGTTTGTTTGTTTGTTTGTGTGTGTGTTTGTTGTTTGTGTGTTTGTTTGTTTGCTTGTTTGCTTGTTTGTGTGTCTGTCTGTCTGTCTGCCTGCCTGCCTGCCTACCTGCCTGCCTGCCTGCCTGGCTGCCTGCCTGCCTGCCTGCCTGCCTGCCTGTCTGTCTGTCTGTCTGTCTCTGTCTGTCTGTCTGTTTGTCTCTGTCTGTCTGTCTGTCTGTCTGTCTGTCTGTCTGTCTGTCTGTCTGCCTGCCTGTCTGTCTGTCTGTCTGTCTGTCTGTCTGTCTGTCTGTCTGTCTGTCTGTCTGTCTGTTTATGTCTTTCTTTCTTTCTTTCTTTCTTTCTTTCTTTCTTTCTTTCTTTCTTTGTTTGTTTGTTTGTTTGTTTGTTTGTTTGTTTGTTTGTTTGTTTGTGTCTTTCTTTCTTTCTTTGTTTGTTTGTTTGTGTGCTTCCGTGTTTGTGTTTTTGTTTGCTTGTTTGTTTGTTTTTCTTTGTTGCATTGATGTTTTTTTGGTTGGATGGTTGCCGTTGTCTCACTTGCCCAGCGGTTCGACCTTGTACTCCGTTTGTGCTCACCATGGGGCCATTCATGGTGATCAACTCTGCGTACTCAGGGACCCTGCCCCAAGGGTTTAGGTGTTTGGCCTGTTTTTGCCTCGTTTTACCTTAGGCACACGCGTTGCAAATGTCCCATAAAACCTGAGGGTAACCCCTGAACGCACATCTCGAGGCCTTCTTTGGACCTTTCCCTGTCCCAAAGCTTGGGCTAATTGGGTGTGTCTTTGTAGGAGACAACCGAAAATGGGTTGTCCCTTTGGTTTCCCTTTAAAACCAACCAGACACAGGGTACACCCAAACAAATAGTCCCATTTTTGTTGTTTGGTTAGCAGGATTTTTCTCCGTATTTAATGAGAGGGTCACCCTTGTTTGCTTTTTTGCCGTTGACTTCCCTTGGGTCATTTTTGTCGAGTGATCATGGATCAGGATTTGCCAGCACGTCTTTCGGGTAACGACATGTGCCAAAGGGGAGCTTTTCGAAAGCCATTCCCGGGTTTTCCGTTGGGCTTCCCTTTACCAGCCCAAACAAAGGCAGACAACTCTTGCTTTGCTTAGGGACGGTCAGCTGCTTGGGAATATGAGTATGGGTTGCCATTGAAACCAACCTGAAACGGGTGCCCCTCCTGTTGAACAGTTCCCTGAAAGCTTCCCCGAACCACCCCCTGAAGCTTGTTTGGGCAGAGACCAAATCCATAACTTTCAGCTGTCACAAGCCCAGCGCCGTCCAAGGAAGGCCATCGTGAATGGCCACAACGAGGGTACCCTTCACATCCCGCCGCCCATCTTGTCGCGGGTCTTCCAAGAACTCTCCCGCGGCACCTCGCTGTCGAAACCGGGCGGTGGGCTCTTTTTGGTTGCGAGTACTTGCTCCCAGCCATCGCCAGAAAGGTTGTTTCAGGTGGTTCGGTGGTTTCGTGGTTAGTTTCCAATGAACCCAGGTAAGCTCTTAGGGGTCTGACAGTCCAGCTTCGTTTTCCCAACTGATGGCATCCAGATCCCTTTCGTTGGGCTGGAAGCCAACCAGCCTTGGCGAATCCCTTGGACACCCCCCATTTAGAAATCCTAAGGTTGGACATCCTAAAGTTGGAAAATCCTATTGGTTGCCAAGTATCGTGATGACTGAGCGACTGGGCCGGTCCTGTGGCTTTCGAGATGACCTTTTGGGCACGGTGAGCCTCTGAAACGGACACTTGGCTTCTGCAAAGCATCGAGATCTCAACACCCCGTTGAACAAGGTGGGCATGAAGATCATGCTCCCCAAGGGCAGCCAAAGGAATATTTGTCTAAAAAGAGAGAATAAAAATCAACAACCTGTTTCTCTACTATGCAACAAGGGGTAACCTTCAGAACGGCTTGGTGTTCCTTTGGCTTCTTTTACCAACCCCCAGACGGGGTACGAGCCCAAGGAAGCATGCAGCGCGCACCATCGACCATTTGTTCGACTCCCACCTGGCTTACTGCTGGTTCTTGTTTCGTAAAGCCAATATGGGTGTGTTTGTTTTTTGGCTCCGAAATGGTGGTTTGCCTTTGGTGCAAATCACATCCCTCGCAAAAAAGGATAGACCCATATCAACCTTTGTATCCATGTTAAAATGACAAGTCAATAGGCTTTGGGGGCTGCTTATCGGTTTCTTCAAAGCCTCCTAGTTTGTGTATGGGTCATGTCAATGTAGGGATGAGGGGCAGCGAGCTCCAAGTTTCAACCACAACCCGGTGACGCACGAGTTTTCTCGTGTCCTTTTCAATGTGGGGATTGCCCACCATGACTTCTATGGAAAGTTGAGGCATGGTGAATATCCAAAACGCCCGGAAGATCAACGACCTGCCGTATCCTTTCCACTGTGCGCAGCTTTTGACTGTGATGCTCCTGGTCTACACTGCGGGGATGCTCAGCCAGCTGAAAATCAAAACCCGATGAAGGGTAAGGGGCTGATTTTTCGCCAAAAGCTAGTGCGGATACTCGTTACCGTTGCTTGGCTAAGAAAAACTTTGGTGAGGTTCCAGTGCTCACATTATTTTCGTGCCACGCTGGTGAGACTTGTGAAGCTCATCGGCCCCTGAGTTCGGCTCCTGAGTTCGGCTCAGTTCCTGCAATTCCAGTGGGAGTTGGTAAGTCTTCACATATGCTACAAAGGTAGTTCATGGGGGAGCGGGGGAAGGGGGGCGGTGGGGGCGGGGTGAGAGTATATATAATATATATATATATATGTATAGTATATATATATATATAATACGTGTGTGTCATTTGTTGATGACGCCATTTTGGGGGTCCCCCTGTTTTAAGACATGTCTTTTTGTATACCCGTATACCCCGCATTGTTATTTTAACGTATACATCTTTGTTTTGATGGTGGTCCTGTGTTTGTCAAGGGCCGCCCAATGGACGCCCCCTCGAACAAGGGGGCAAGCGTCAAAGCGTCATGAGCACCAGACAAACCTCTCTTCAAGTCAGGCGTAGTGAATGGAAACCCTGGTCCCAGCCTAGGGAATCACTGCAAAGCTCTCCCCAAACTGGGCACTCGCCTCTCCCATTTGTTTTGCTTTCCCTCCCAACATACCCAGGCGGAAGAACACATATTCGATCCTTCGCCAAGTTCCAGCTCAGCCGGCACTGCCATGTCAACACGGGGCCCCTAGTTGTCCTGTTTGTTTTTTCGCATTTAACTCTGGGGTCTGCTCCAAAATCAGTTGAGAAATTAGCTAGGTCGCCCAGTAGTGCCCTTTTACCCTTTCTGGGGGAGGGTTCCCCTACTAAAATAGACTACAGAAAAAAAGGGTAACCTCTCTACTGAAGGACCTAGTTAGGGTGGACAAAGTTTGAAACAGACTCCTGCAGTATTCCTTCGGGGTGATGTTTCCGGGTGCGAAATAGGGGGAACCATTCCCCTCCCCCAAAAAAAGCGCACAGCTTTTTATGCCTTGACTTTCCCCTTCAAGGAACAAAAGGTACCGCACCATGTTAATTCCAGGTTGCGTTCTTTTTTTTTTTGACTCAAATGGGTGATGCTTGGTAATGGGTGTGTCTTTAGATTCGATGTGGATCTCCAAAATGGATTCGGTTTTCCGTCGGGCTTTCCTTCGAAACTATCCCCTCCCCAAAAAAACAAAAACAGCAACAACAAAAAGCAATAATCAAGAAACACGCAAAACAAAAGAACAATGAAACAAACAACCGTAACAGAAACAAAAAACAGGCAAAAACAATAACAACAAAAAAAAGAAACAATCATAACAAACATAAAAACAAGCACTAAAGGTAGAAGCGCCACATCAACGGAGGTGGGGATCACCATCGGCTCCGCCTACACCTTCGAGACCTGGCAATCTGCGGCTCTGGTCACGCGCTTTGGCCTCGAGCGTTTCCACCCCGCCCCAACACCCCCTGAAGCCCAGCAGGCAATGCGCCCGGGAAAAAAAAAAGTTGGGTGGGTTGAATATCTTGGGGGGGCGAGTTTTGCGTTGTTGTTGGTTTTTTTCGCGCCCGGACTTTTCTGAGATGTGTTTGTTGTGTGTGTGTGTGTGTGTGTGTGTGTGTGTGTGGGCGTGTGCGTGTGCGTGTGCGTGTGCGTGTGCGTGTGCGTGTGCGTGTGCGTGTGCGTGTGCGTGTGCGTGTGCGTGTGCGTGTGCGTGTGCGTGTGCGTGTGCGTGTGTGTGCGTGTGCGTGTGCGTGTGCGTGTGCGTGTGCGTGTGCGTGTGCGTGTGCGTGTGCGTGTGCGTGTGCGTGTGCGTGTGCGTGTGCGTGTGCGTGTGCGTGTGCGTGTGCGTGTGCGTGTGCGTGTGCGTGTGCGTGTGCGTGTGCGTGTGCGTGTGCGTGTGCGTGTGCGTGTGCGTGTGCGTGTGCGTGTGCGTGTGCGTGTGCGTGTGCGTGTGCGTGTGCGTGTGCGTGTGCGTGTGCGTGTGCGTGTGCGTGTGCGTGTGCGTGTGCGTGTGCGTGTGCGTGTGCGTGTGCGTGTGCGTGTGCGTGTGCGTGTGCGTGTGCGTGTGCGTGTGCCGTGTGCGTGTGCGTGTGCGTGTGCGTGTGCGTGTGCGTGTGCGTGTGCGTGTGCGTGTGCGTGCGTGTGCGTGTGTGTGTGTGTGTGTGTGTGTTTCTTTTTTTAAATGTACTTTTTCAGGCGCCCGGAAAAGTTTAGATATGTTTTTGGTGGTTTGGCTCTTTGGGGCCGCATGAATGGGGAACCTCAAAATGAACTATGGAGTCTCTCTCATTTTCCCTTCAGCTCAAACGTGGGGCACCGGGGTTTTCTGGTTTGTAAGGGGACGAAATGAGAATCGCCAGTTTTGAGGCGCATTTTTGAGACAAGCCCGTTTGGGTATGACTTGGGTTACCTGTTCACGTTTGTTTTTTTGCCGTTTTGTGTCTCCTTCATAGTTTCCCTTTCCAAGGAAGGCCCAGCTGTTGAGGGAAACCGAAACTTGGAAGCCCTCAAAAATGAGGGTCGCCCTAGCTGCCCGAGCCATAGCCATGGAAAATCGGCGGCTTCTTGACTCACTCCAATTGTTCCTAGACTTTGAACGCTTTTTGGGAAGACCATGGTAGAGGTAGATGGCAAGTCCTTCCACTCGTCAAGTGGGTTGGAGTGGTTCAGGAGCCCAACAGGACCCAAAAGCCGGTCATTTCGGATTCCAAGCCAGTACCCATCCCAAAAATCACGGTGAAACCCCGGGTGCCCTTGACACCCCTTCGAAGCGGGGTACCATCCAGCATCCAGCAGCCTACCCATGTCTTTCGCGAGAAACTTTTCTAAGGGTCGATTCCTTTTCCATTCTTTTCACCCATCGTTCTTTTCAGAAACCATCCATTTTCCCTGCATTTCTGGATTTTCTAGAAAGATTCGGATCCCTGGAAAGAATGCTTGGAAGGTATCCACCCGGGTACCCACTCCAGCATCCAAAAACAAGGGTACCCATATCTTTCGCGAGAGCTTTAGTCAAAGGGTTGGGTTACAGGAAATTCTACAGGAAAACAGTTTTGGGGCCATTTCCTGTAGACTTTCCTGTAACCA